GCCTTTTGTGTACATAAAAAGTGTTGTGTTTATAATTTTGCTCAGTGTAGATAAAGACCCGAGGGTAACGCTTCCTTTTAGAGTCCAGTTACCCATGTAAATACTATGTACTTATTTTACTAACTACTGGGTAATAACTAGTACTAACCCTGAACCTGCCCCTAAACCTACCCCTGTTCCATGTACTTACCTTATATTAGCCAGTACTTTCTATAGGTAAGTACACTGTAAGTATACTGCAAGTACTGTACTGTAAAATGAAGCGTTACCGACCCGAGTATGTAATAATGATTAGAGAAACATTCATGCATTTAAGGGTTAAATATAAAAGCTGATAAATTGGGACCAAATGATATAATATTACAAATTCATAACCTACTGAGGTGATTGGGGTTTTTTTTAATCTCACAGAAATGGCACCATATCATTTTCAGATATTCACCTGCACAAAACCAAAGGATAATCAGTCGAAAAAGGGAAAAAGGAATTTTTCCTTCACCAAAGTGCAGGGACTCATTTTGAAGTTTTGTACGTTCGATCTAGATGTATTTTACAGTGAAATCTGAATGATCCTTTGTCTCAAGGCCTCTCTGCGTAGTGAAGGTCAAACACTAGGTAGCAGAGAGAGCCTTGAAGTCCTCATTGACTAAGAAAGTGTGTGCTTTGTTCTTGCACTTCTCAATGTCAGCTGGCAGGATAATCTAAGCCACAGTTTTTTTTTTTCTTTGCTTGCGTGCTGTGTCTTCTGCTGATGTAATTACAAATAAAAGTGTGGTCCAAGGCTGCTGCAGAAACATCTATGTAAACTGTATAATTTAAGAAAAATATGCTGTCTTTATAATTTGTATGTGCACAGGTTGCATTTATCATGTTAATTTAAGTTTCTATTCAATTTAAGGGTCCGGCTACTGTGAAGCACATAAAAAGGAAGTGAATGGGGCCAACCAGTTATCATAAAAATTCTCCCTTTCAATAGTATTGTTTGTTAACATGGTTTTAGTTTGGGGAAAAAAGCACTTACATTTTATGTTACAACTTTTTTTTTCATGACAACATACGTGCCCTATAATCATCACATGACATGTCCACAGTAAAAAATTGATTTGTTGACTCACCATTGCGGTTAAAACAGGTCCTGCTGTCGACCAACTTAATTGTGAGAGTTCATAATGATGTGATTTAGTCAGGCTTGTCCTATTGTTGACCGTTGATACGTTTTCCGTCGGCGCATCCCAGAAAATAACCTCTCTGAGCAGCAAGATGTTACAGGGACAGTCAGAGCCAGTTTCAAAAGCTTTGTGACTTCTGGTAGTAACGTTCTCAAGTGCTCGCTGCCTCCATCACCTTTCATGAAGCCATATAGACCTGCACCAGAGAAACGTGGGAGCCGTCATCTTTAGAATATTGTCTTTGAACTTCCGTTTTTGCGGTCGGTCTCTATGGGATCGCTGTCGAGGAGTAATTAACTGGTGAAGTGGATTTACTTATTGTGGAGTTAACAAAAGTTATCAAGCTGAGCATTGTAATGTTTATAATAAGCATTGTAATGCAGATATCTTAACAAATGTCGACCGGGAATTTTCTTACGAGCAGTTCAAGATCGCTGTGAAAATACAGACCGGAAGTCAAAAGACAACGAGCGCAGCACTGAAAAGGGGCGGGGCTACATTAGGTCTATACATCTTGAAAAGTTGCAAGATGAACACCTTTCTGTTTTGCCAAGTCCAAACACATGTCTCTATGCAATGTCAGCCTGCTTCCATCCATATCATCCCTAGAACTGAATCACGTATATTTACAGTCGGCCTTCCTGATTACAAAATCTTCTAGCTAGGCCTATTGCATGTGTTTGAATTCAGAAGGATTAAATCCGCACTGCAGTTCAGAGATGCTGATGCTGTATCCATGACCTCAAAGTACTGCTGCCGGTACATTGCCTCTGGTGTTTGAAAACTGTGCACCTCCACTGTCCAATCGCCAGGGGATTCTTCTAAGTCTGGGCACATTTGGGCTATCTAAGTCAAGGACATGTGCTTCTGCTGTAATATTTTTCCACCATTCTTGGAATCCTTTACAAAGAAACTTAATGTCTTCTCTGTGTGTCAATCAACTGTCTAGTTTTCTGTAGGTGCAGATGGCTGTTTTGAAGTTCCAAGAGAGGAATTACAGCATGAGTTTCAAGGAGAAAATGGTGCTAAATTTTAGCAGGTGCGTTAGTGCGCTTGCTTTCCCTCCCGCCTCGCCCCTTTCTTTTTCAGAAGGTCCTCCGACTGACAGTGTCAGTTATATAACCAATCACAGTGTGACAGATGCTTCACATAGCACCAACTGCAATGTTTAATTTTAAATGTAGCCTACTGGCAGTCTGGCACACGTGGGTCCTCTGTATTTTCGCATCGGCATCGGCGCCAATGGGTTTAGATATATGTAAGATGGGAGATCCAGATCCAACTCCTCCCCCTGGATTTCGTGTTCTGCAGTGAGGACCATCTCAATTTTCAGGCTAAGTCAACGGTTTCTCAAAACTCCCTACTGCAGCTTTAAATGATAAAAATTTCTGCAAAACTGCAAACTGTTCAAATTGCTTTAAACGATTCCAGACGATGAATAATGGTCTTATCAAGCGAAACGATTGCTTATTTAAAAAAATAAAATAAATAAATAACAAAGTTTAAGTTTTATAAGCTCAAATGGTCGCCTTGCTCTGTTCTGTGATGCGTTTGTGACTCTCCTGTTCGAACTCGTTCATCAAAATGAACAAATCTTTTTTTGTGTCATTTGGTTCATTCAACGAATGAATGAACGAATTGACTCGGGAAAAGATTCGTTCATTTTGATGAACGAGTTCATAGTCTGTTTCAAGTGTGAGCTCACTGAATTAAGATGGATTTTATATACTATCAGTACAACTACCTCAAAATCAATCTATTAAACTGTGTGGAAATGTGTCATAATTTTATTACATTAGAGTCAGACCAACAAGCTATTTTTTGTTTTGTTTGTTTGTTTTTTCCCCTTCCGACCGACGGAGCACAAGCCCAAACATGAGCTTCAGCAGACATAGTCTCTCCCTTTTTGTCTCTGCCTGTATCTTGGAAGCATGAATCTGAGCTGTCACCTGTAATAAAACTCATTTGCTGAACTGAGGATGTGAATAAGGACAGACAAGGTCAAGGCTGGGCGCTGGCAGAGGGGGAGCTTTGTAGCGTACAGTAACATGATTAACTGATCTGATATTACATAGTGTGCACTATAGGCCTTTATTTAAAGGCTTTTTCTATATTCATATTCTCTATCTTTCAGTCTTTCATAAAACCGGAGGCATGAAAATAAATACAGTGAAGAGTTTGATTTAATTTTCTTTGAAGAATGTGCTTCTATACACCTAGCCTTGAACATCCTCACATCCCTTAGGACAAACGCATTCTAGACGGACTTGGCAAACACAGAAAATTGACAGTTTAAGGGAAAAACCTTTTAATGAGTGTGTTTCTCCTTTCAGGTGTGTCCAAGGCTCAGTTTGATGGAGGAGAGAAAGAAAACACGGTTGTAATGAGAAGAATGAAAAGGATGTCCTTCAATTTGATTTGAGGTCTTCAGTCCTTGCTCTCCTCACCTTTGTGTTAATATCACCTTATATTTTTGCCAGATACAGGCTGTTGGGTCAATTTAAAGGCTCAAACGTTTTCTCTTTGAATTATTTTCTCAATAACCTTCATTGCTTCTTGTCGTTGGTCTTTGTTGTCTCACTGGATTGCCAATGGAGTTCAAAGGAGATTGCAAGTACACTTTGGGATCAAGGCTGGACTTTTGTGCTTGACTATCAATATCCTAACGGGACGCACTGCCCAGTGGACGTTCAACCTTCCAAAGCCTTCGGTGATTCAAACAAAACATGTTGTCACAGGTGTTGCTTGCTGTTGTTGTCACATTTCGTTGCATGCACTGTGTTTGTTTGAAGCGGCATGTTCAAAACTTTGTTCTCAATTAGTAGTCAGAACAATTTTTGCTGGGTTAACTTGGGTCGTTTGGATTTGACTTGGACCAGTAAGAACGAAAAAACCTTTCTGTTTTTAGTATACTGTAAAAAAAAGTTGTTGGTTTAACTTAAAAAATTAAGTAACCTGGTTGCCTTAAAATTTTAAGTTGATTGAAGTAGAAAATGTGAGTTAATACCATGAAGGAGATTGATTTAATCATCTGGAACTCAAAATATTATGTTACCTGAACTAAATATTTTTAAGTTAAGATTTTACAAAAGAAAAAATCTTGTGATAACAAATCTTGAAAATATTTTTTTTTTACGGTGTAGGCCCTACAATGTTGCGTAAAACCAAAACGTTGAAACCCATTTTCAAAACTTTGCATTTTCAGGCCTGCAGAACAGATATAAAGGCAGACTAGTGTGAAGCCAGCTGTGATTTGCTTTTGGTTATTTTTCTGCCATTATTTGATTTAATGGGGACAAGATAAGTTGAAAGTGACATCCAGGTTTTGAAAATAGACTAATTGGGTCATGCCAGAGCGTGTTTGTGTTCAAATCGGAGCTTTTTCAAGGCCTCAATGCAAATGATCAGAGGGGGCACTTTGCATCCCGAATCCTTGGGCCAAACAAACAATCCCCCTATGAATTAAATCTGGCATCCTCAATCCCTTTTTAATGATCTGCCATATATTTTCCTGCCATCCTTGATATGTGAATTCTAATCAATAATGTATTTTCATTTTTATTTATGAAACATTGTGAACATGCCCTGTTTTTATACTTTGCTCACACAGGTTTTTTGTTTGACCTTTGTTTGTCTATTTGTCTTTCGATCAAAGAGATAGCAAGCTGCCATTGGAACATATTTTATTAATAAACTATAAACCATAATATAGAATGCATACACGTCTTGAAAGCCACTTTAATAGTGGATTTTCAATTTAGCTGTAAACAAGCACAGAATGCAAATAGAGATATCACATCTTTCATAAAATTGTTGCTTTTTAAACCTGGCTCAAATATTCATTATAAAGCCCTTAATGCATATCTACGTAATCATATGTAGTTTAGTCGTTTTTTAAAGCAGGAGGAACAATTAAACATTTTGCTGAACTTTAGCTTTGATTGATGTTTACTTAATATTGTATTTGTTAAATTCCTGTGCAAAATAGTCAGCTCAGCCTTCAGTAACTAATATGCTACAAAGTGCAGCTTGGGCAACACATTTGTTTCATTACAGAGCCAGTGACTCATCGCTGCCATCTGGTTGAAATTCAAAGCAACAGCAATGTGCTAAAAGAAACAAGCATCTAATTCATCCTTAATAAATAGAATTCACATTTAATTTTCTTTACTAAAAAATAAAAGTATAAAAATGCTTACTATATGATACATTAACATGTTCAATGTGTAAGTCCTTTTTAGAAGTCTTTCTGACACATCAGGGTCACTTGTCCTCATCATGCTGGTGTGGATATCTTTAATTGGAGGAAGGTCCAGAATTTTTCAGAGTTAAAGATTCGGTTCTTGGTTGTCGTTTGTGGTTTACGGATGATCCTGTGATTCTGTTTGGATGGCATCTTTTGTTCAGATAGCCATCCTTCTCCACTCACGTCCTCAATGGAAACAGATCTCCCAGATGAGATTTCCATCAGGCATATCGGATCCCTGGTTGTTTGAAGATGTTTGTCGCATTCTATGCTCCACAGAGTAGTTTCACAAAACATCTAAGGAAAGAATATAATTGAAATAAAGTTTGTTATTTGTGCTGATGCTTGTGTAGCAAGATAGACTAATCCATTAGTTTGAAATTTCAAATATCATCATTTATCAGCAAATATTTTTTTTATTTTACTTTTTTTCTGTTTTTCAATTTTATACTAATCTCTGTATGTTTTTTTTCTGAAAATCATTTATCCATGGAAGCTTGAAATATTAATTATGTAAGAAAAATAATAATCAGTTATTTGTAGACTTCAGATATGCAGGCTATAGTATAAACTAAAAAAATATATATAATTGCTCGTATCTATTATTATGACTGACAAAAAAAATATGGAACACCATCACAAACAATCTTTATAACATGAGTTAAAAAAAATCTCAAAAGACAATGATTGGACAATCGTGAAATGCGCAGAGAAAAGGAACTGTTTACAAGTGACACGACGATCACCGTTTTTTAAAAAATACATCTGAATGAAAGAAATATTATATCACCACTGAATTAGAAAACACAGAACAGTTGTTTATTCAGTTTAAAAAAACATGTAGCCTATAATTTATGTTTAAAAACTGAATAAACAACTGGTATGCCTCAGAGTAATTGCTTATATCCTCAAACAGCTTTTTCATAACCCAAGACTATGATATAATCTATGATTTTAACCGAAATGTACTAGTGATTAATCTAAGATTCTCGGGAGCCATAGCCTATGATGTCAAAAATAGGCATCTCTCTGGGTCTAATTTTGCCTGATTCAAAGTCTGACCTACTTATAACTTTGCATTTGAAAGACGCATTCACTGTTTGCAAAAAGAAAAAAGGGACAGAAGCTGAAAAAATAAGCAAATCTTACCTTGATTTTGTCTGATTGATTTCGCCTCGTCTCAATGCGACGGAAGTCAAAACACTGCGACTAGCGCTCGCAAACGCAGCTTTTAAACTAGATTTTATTGCACCTAAAGGTAGATTCCCAACGCAAGTAACCATCAAATGTAAAACAGGGAGTCCAAAGGTCTTCAATAAACACTTAAAACTGACCCAAGGTGTCTATACGGTACTTTCTCAAGGATATGCCCAGACTAGCCACAGTGCAGCAACTGTGAGACTCAAGAAGAACTACCAGTGGCTTTTATTAGATCCACCTGCATGCGGAGTTTTTACCAGAGTTTCCACGAAAGTTTCCCTGAACTTCCAACATGCCCTATTTTAGATTTTTCTAACATCCTATCATCCTTTCTATCATTTTTTGCATCATCCTCATTCCCAAGATGGAAAATTTGAACTCAAACACATGCTATACTATTAAAATTATTCTGATATAATGAAAATGTAGGCTAAAACAGAAACATGCAGGTATGGTGAAATTCTATTGACAAATAGCCTATAGGCTACTGACATTTCAGGTAAACTCATGGTTGGCATATATATATATATATATATATATATATATATATTAGGGCTGTGCAAAAGTTAATTGCGATTAATCGCATCCAAAATAAAAGTCTGTTTTACATAATATATTTGTGTGTGCTGTATATAATTATTTTGTATATATAAATACCTATGCATGCATGCATATATTTAAGAATTATTTGCTCTTAAATTCTGTATATATATATAAATACATAATCTATATTATATAAATATAAATATTTTATATAGGAATAACACATTTTCTTAAACATATACATGCATGTGTGTGTATTTATATATACAAAATAATTATATACAGCACACACAAATATATATGTAAACACAGACTTTTATTTTGGATGCGATTAATCGCAATTAACTTTTGCACAGCCCTAATATATATATATATATATATATATATATATATATATATATAGGCTAATTTGTCCAAAAAATAAATAAAAATAAACAAATATAGCGGATAAATATTAATGCTTATCTTTCATATCAAAATATAATTAAAATAATAAAATTCATTTTGATAATTTTTAGTTGCACTTGGGGAATCTGTTACACTTACACCATGTGTTAAATGACAAATTGCACACAGAAATCCATACACTATTAAATAGAACAAAACAGAATCGGGTAACACTTTCATAATGAGGCCTACATAAAAAAATAAGTACAATACAATTTTTGTGTGTTCATATTGTATTGCAAAACTCTTTTTCTGCTATTGAGGTGGGATACAGGTATACAAGATACAAGTTTAAGGTGTGTTAGGGTGTGTTAAGGTGTCAGGGAAGGCACTGTAATTATAAATTTTAGATAGTCTTACGTATTCTGTTTCACTCTTGATTATAAGACTGGTTATACGCTGTACTTTCCAACAAAAACAAAGTTTTCAATTGGTGGAGATTAAAGTGAAAGAGAAAGCATTTCTAAACTTGTGCAACAATAGGACTAGGGTTAATACAGTTTATGATTTCTCTCCCAAAAAAGAAGGGAAAAAAAAGAAGAGAGAATCAAGCATCAGTACTGATCAATTGAAACACTCAAAATGCTTTATGCTATTTTAAAGGTTGCTAATTTTGTTTTGGATGTCACCCATAGCAGATAAACCTATACATGGATCAAGGTAAAAAAAAACAAAAAAAACCTTGTTTTTCACATAATATATATTGCCTACTTGTCCAAAGATTCAGTCTCTATTAATCCCTCCTTTCTCCTTGCTCAGATTGGTAAAATGGTCCAGTGAGTTTGTGATTTGTCTGCCAGTGTGTGTCGAAATGCACATCACCACTGAACTTTAGCTCCGGATGCTTCCTAAAGCTCAGAGATTGTACACACCGTAAAGACAGTATGGCGTCGATTTTACCATATCAATCTCAGAGTGAGTCCGATTATGAAACTTTGATTATGAAACTTTTATTCAACCCAAACCCCCATTGCAAGAACGACTTGAGCAGGACTGAGCGATATGATTTTGAGGTACAATATGCGACAATTGTAATTTGTAATTCCTCACCATCAGCATAACTTTATTATTAACTGTATCATGCGTTACCCATGCATTAACGTGAATGACTGATGTAAAACCAATCTTGCTCCATCCTTTATCATTATTCAAATGACTAAGAACAACAGACAATCTGCATTAATGGAAACAATTTTGTTAATATTGGGCCTACAGCATAACTATTTCAGTAATAACACGAATTAGCCAGTTATCCGGAGACACAATATAAAACACAAACTACATATTAAATATATAGATCAATAATTAATCACACTTACAGGTTGAGATTCTGGGAAACAAGTTGTTCCAAATAAAGTTCCATCTTTAATGGATAAGCATTTTATAAATCCCATTTAGACCTCATGGACATTTGAGAAGCAATTGTCAAAAGGCTGTTCTATAGCTGTGGTCATTTTAAGAGTTGAGATGCAGTGATTTCCTTATCATCAGATGTATGTGGGCATGCATTACGGTTGAGTGGGTGTGTCTGTGTATCTGCATGAGCCTACATAATCGACACACCAAAATATAAAGAGCATCTCCTTCTGCTCAGTGTAGTATAGAGTCTACAAGTTTGGGATTTCAACAGTTTGTTTGTGGTTTGGAGAAATGGTAAGTAGAAATCTTTTTGCTAGTATACCACATGAGGTACAGTATTCCAGCAGCTTTCAATTAACGGTGTGTTTGTCTCACAGTACGGCTTTATCAATACTTGTCTGAAGTCACTGGTCATTGAAAGGTTTGGAGAAGAAACATGGGAGAAACTGAGGTCTGTATACAACACATGTAACATGTGTAAAAAAATATTTTCAAGATTTGTTATTACAACATATTTTCTTTTGTCAAATCAACTTTATAATAATTTATTTAGTTGAGATAACTTATTATTTTGAGTTTCTGATGATTAAATTAATCTCCTTCATTGTATTAACTCACTTTTTCCAGTTCAATCAACTTAAAATTTTAAGGCAACCCAGATTACTTACTTTTTTAAGTTGAACCAACAATATTTTTTTACAGTGTGGAGATTTGTAGTTTGTCAACTAAACGAAGTCTTTTCTAGATTAATGGCCGGGGTCCAGGAGACGTTTATGACCTATGAAATCTACGATGATCTCATCACTCTTCGATTAGTGCAAGAGGCTTGTAAAATGCTGGGTGAGCATCATTTTGTATTAAGAATCTTAGAATGATATTGTTCCCTGTAACCGCAAGCTAGTTTTGGATCTAAATGTATTTGCATTTGTGTTTTTCTATGCATATGTCAGCTAAAGAACCTTCTTCTCCTTTGTCTGACTCACCAGAATGTTTCACTTCTTTAAAAGGGCAGTTTTTGTTTGGATCCACTTTTAAATGTCTGTCTGCGTAAACATTTTTGAGAAAAGAATACAGACCGCGACAGCCTCACAATTACTTTGTTTTCACAATGTCCTTGGGGACTTGCAGACATTGGTCAAGTGTCTGAGAGAGTGCTAACTATGTCCCTACTGAGCATAGACCACTGGGCATTATGATGGTTGATGTCCTATAACCTGTCATCCAATATGTTCCTGAGAGTAGGTGGACAAGGACAGGTGTGAATCTCTGAGTGGGTCACACACCTGAACTCCACTCAATTGGTACCACAATGACCTAGGCGCTTTTGAAAAGGAAACTGAACTGCTGCCCGGATGAAAGTTCTGTTTGATTTTTCTTCTAGATGTCTCCTCCGAGGTGGTTTTGAAGCTGTTTGGAGAATACTTTTTCAGCTTTTGTAAGATGTCGGGATATGACACTATGCTGCGAACTCTCGGTGGAAACCTGCTGGAGTTCATTGAAAATCTTGATGCTCTACACAGTTACTTGGCATTATCTTATGAGGTCAGAATACGCAATGCTTCTCAAAACTCAAAACTTTTAAGAGAAAAACATGAGATGCAAGTCAGCGTGCAGAAAAAATGTTCTAGAGACACATTTTTCTCAAAAACACGTTCTATGTGAATCATACAGTGTTTAATTAAAAATGAATCTCAGTCCAAATGTAATATCAGTCGACTTATTATAGGCCTATAAATGTTTGAGAACATATGAAATAAAAACTATGAACTTATTATGGTTTGTAACTTTACTTAGGCCATGAATGCTCCATCCTTTCGTGTGGAGCGGATGGATGATGGCCGAATTCTTCTTCACTATTACTCAGACAGGAAAGGACTTTATCATATTGTGCCAGGTGAGAGTTTTTACATGAAAGGCATAAAGCTATCAGCAACCCCATACAGCAAAATATATATTTTTAGATAGCCTACATAAAATTGCCCAAATATTTTGAAAAAATATTCATATATAAATTTTAGGACTGTCAAACGATTAATCGCATCCAAAATAAAAGTTTGTGTTTACATAATATATGTGGGTGCACTGTGTATAATTATTTCATATATATAAATACACACATGCTTGTGTATATTTAAGAAATATTTTGATTTACATACTGTGTATAGATTTATATATAATATATATACATATTTTATATATACATAATATTTTTTTCTTAAATATACATGCATATGTGTGTATTTATATGAAGAGTTCAGATGCAAAAGCCTCTAAATGCCATTTGACATTTTCCTCTAGAATGGTAATTTTTATCAAACTTGTATATTTGAGTTCAGTAATTTCACTTAAATAACAATTAATAGGTAATCTTCATTGCCATTTAAGTGAAATTACTGAACTTAAATATACAAGCTTGATAAAAATGATCATTTTAGAAGAAAAGTTCAAATGGCACTTAGAGGCTTTTGCATCTGAACTCTTCATATATATACAAAATAATTATACACAGTGCACCCACATATATTATGTAAACACAAACTTGGATGCAATTAATCATTTGACAGCCCTAATATATTTCAATTCAATTTAGTTACTTATGTTTCTTAAATCATTGAATTTAGTTCAAAAACTAGAAAGTAGTTATTTTGTGTACATTTTGTAATATATTTTGACATTTAGGTTGGACACTAAATAGTGTACAAAATAGTGTCTTTAATCTGCTCTGTTTAGAACATATATATTAAAAAATATATATTTTATACATGCGATATACATGATTAAAGAATTGTCTTTCTGATCATCAAGTACTTTTTCTTGTTGGCCAGGTATTATTGAGGCTGTGGCGAAGGATTTCTTTGACAGTGAGGTTACGATGACCATTCTGAACC